GTGAGGGTGGCACCTATTGAGGAAAAAATGGTAGAAAATCGGTTGAGATGGTTTGGGCATGTACAAAGAAGACCAAGGGAGGCACAGTGAGAAGAGTGGAACATATAACTTTGAGTCCGATTAAGGAGGTAGAGGAAGGCCTAAGAGAACACTCTTGGAAGTTATTGAACGTGATCTCTTAATTAATAATATTTCTAAAAGCTTAATAAATGATAGAGCACAATGGCGTCTTGCAATCCATGTAGCCGACCCCACCTAGTGGGATAAAAGCTTGTTGTTGTTGTTGTTGTATGCTTGTCAGATTTGGTTGCTGTAGGTTGATTCTCTTTAGGAAGGGTATTGGGTTCATAATTCTCTATGTGCTTATGACTGTATATGTTTATGAGTGCGAATGATATACCAACAAAAAAAACAATACAAGAGATTAGACACTGGAATATATGTTGGTGAAATATTTCAATCCTTTGTTATGTACTAAGGCATTCAAAGAATTTAATTTGCTTGTTCCATTATTCTGGTATATGGGATATTCATCATTGAAGGTCTCTCAAGAGAGTTAGTCATATGACTATATGATTTGGTTGGGTTTGGGTTAGATCTCTTTGGTGCTTATGAGTTATGATGAATTTTAGATGGTTGGGTGTCTCTTTGATGTTGCAATTCTTGACTATCATAATATGTAATTAGTACAATGGTTGATTGTTTTTCTTCATGAAATTCAAGTGAGGATTGTTAAAAATACTATGTGCTGGACATATTAATGCCCCTTTATTTACTTTCCCTCCTTTTTAATGTTATTGAATCTTTGACCCAAAAATATATGTGTGTCTATATATATATATATATATATCATGGAAGCAGCAAGCCAAACTTCTAAGATTACTTAGCCAAGTCAAAAGAAACATGGTCTGCTTCTTATTCATTTCTCCTATGAATCTCGTGAATGATCCTTGAACCATGCCTTTGTTTTTTAACGTTCAAATGATAAATATAAATCTTAATATTTTAGATTTTTTGCCATGGGAGATTTTAAGAATCTCTGCAGGCATTTAAAACAATCTCATACTACTTAAATCAATAAGATTTTGTAAGTGTGAGAATCAATTTTGTGTATATTAAGTATGGGTTCCAATGACCCACCATTAAAATTAACTTTTTTTATAATTTAAATCAATAAAATATTCAAGTCTCATGTGAGATTTCAAAAATCTTTGTAGAGACTTAAATAATTAATCACATCATCGTGTAGGATAATTAGTCATCGCAAATGTTGTAATTATTAATTTGTATATATTAAATAAATAAATGATTCTTGTAAATAACATAATAAACTTTTTTTAATAAAATTAAATAATGTATTTTAAATTATAATCACATTCACTAATGAGATCTTTAAGTCATGTGAGATTTTTGAATTTCCGTAGATCTAAAATAATTGTATTACCATGTGAGTTAATAAAGCTCCGTAGGTATAACAATTAGGATTTCATATAATATATATAGACACACATTACATGCATAATAATCTAGTAAATTAATAAAAATATATTTAAATAAATTTAATTCTTTATCATGTGAGATTTGGAATCTCCGCAGATATTTAGAATAATTACATTCTTGTATAAGCCAATATGACTCTGCAGGTATAGCAGTTAAATTTTTCAAAAATAATAAAACATAAAAAATAATCTTTAAATTCATTTCCAAAAATAATTTGTCAATCAAATAAAGAGGTAAACCAAATCGTGGCTAAGATCATGAAGAACCATGGAGTGAATTTAACAGCATCAGTGCTGTCATTTGACAGCACAGGGAACTTCCAACATGTCCTAAATCTCCATCCGACGTCTGATTGAGGTGATTTTGGTGTTTACACGGATCTTTCTCCTAGCTCTAACTAATGGCTCTAGTTTCACACTTAAACTCATTTTCTAGAAGAAGTTGGATGCTAAAACCCATTTTGACTACTTTTTACAAAATTTCACAAATGGGTGCCCTAACTCAAACACTCATGCCAATAGCTCACACAACCATTCGACCATACTCTATAGACTCTAAAGGACCCATGCAACGCACTACATACAATTAAAAACACTTATATTATAAAATCACCACTCAACCTTGAATTTCACAAAACATAAAGGGGGAGGTAATGTCACACAAAATCATCAATTTCATCCTAAATCTTTCAAAATACATATATTTCTACTTGCACAAGTATTTTGACCCTATCCATGGGTTTACAATTAAAACTCAGAACCAGGGCACAAAATACACCAGTTATACACAAAATCATGCAAGTAGTGCATAAATCATGTCAAATGATCCTAGTTGGCAATTACATCAACAAATACACATCGAAGTAACAAAAGAGGCATAAAAAGGATTACTCCACAATCCTAAGCCTTTGTGTGTTTTCCCCGATTCAGATCTAATGAGATAGGTCTTAAAAATATTGAACATTGAGGGGTGAGTATAACCACTCAGTAAGTAAGTTTCACTTAACCTACACAGTTGCATATCAATTAAAATATATGCAAATAAGCAGATGTCACAAATAAACAGTCGGCTACGGTTCAAAAACTAACAACCATGTAACTGAGCTTACCATAACATACTTTATCATGTTATTCATAAAAACATAACACGGGATCATAAAAATAAAAACCATAAACTCTCAACATATGCCAAACCACAAAACTAACAACCATATGGCTAGACTTATATGCATGATCATATGCCAACATTATATCCTCTCGTTACCTCTAACATGAAAAAGGTGGCTATCACGTGGCTACGTCCTTCACAAACTAACCCAGCCTTCTACTTGTGAGGAGCTATTGGGCTAGGGTTAACTCACTCACTTATGTAATCGGTTTCCCCCAATACTAACAACCATGGGGTGTCGTACCTATAATCTAACCTCCTCATGAATTGGTGGAGACTAGTTAGGTTTGAGCCCCTCGTAGAACAAGTGGGATAGTCCTGAATCAACTATAAGATAAGAGCTACTACCCAATTCCAACGGTCGGTGCCAAGGCTAGTTCCTGATTCTAACGGTCACTGCTAATACCATAGAGATTTCAACCAATCTACTCCTCTCCCTAGGTGAACTCCTGCCAATAATCATGCTATGCACATTCTCACATAATATGTATTTTAACAATCAATTCATAGTACATGAACTCACATAAAGTCAAATACTCCACAAACTCAACATATGATCCATCAAAATTCTCCACCTATAATAGCAAATCACAATTAATTTTGTAAAACACAAAGAGTGGCATAATCAAGGTTATCTTTCCAAAACCATTTTGCAAGTCAAACACATTGCCATGTGCATCATTGATTTAAATCATAAATCACATTTCATAAACACAATTAACATTCAACTATAAGGATTAAGTTTCCCCGGTTACCTCAAACCTTTGAGAGGTCAAAGGTTTACCCCTCACTATACTAACTTCCCAAGCTTCAAAAAGCTCGAATGGTGATAAAATGAATCACACTATAATCATACCACAAGAGTATCATCATTGTCTCAATCTTGAAAATTATCAACACATAACTCCACACACTCTATTTTATCAACCCATAGTCACTACCCATTTATACCCAATGAGCTCTTTAGGTTCTATTAATACATATTATCACTAATAACACCTTAAACTATCATTAAGGTACATAAACCTCTCCCAACTACCATATTTATATCAATTTTTGGATATTAAATGCTCCTATAGACCAACTACTTTCAAAATCATTAATATGGTGTTCTAATACCTTAAACAACTTAATTATACTCATTTTAACCAATGAAATCGGACCCATAATCCGATGGACCAAAATCCATCTCCTAACTCAAACCTTACCATAACTCATCATAAATGAGGGAGACACTAGTACAAAATATGAAAATTTAAGGAGCACTTTTTACATCGATTGAAAGGCAAATGAGTAGAAGTTAAGGCGATGACCATTTTGTAATTTTGCAACGCTGATAGGAAATTAGTCGCTTATCCTCAAAATTACACTAAAGCTAACCCTAATGCAATATAGGGCCAACCCTAGGTCATCTCCCAAGGAATGGTTTTAAGTCTAATTGAAAGTTATCTAGTGAAATAAATCAACCAAAGTTTGTAGGAATTTAGTTACCTAGCTAATTATCTAAACTAATTACCTAATGTGCAAGTAATTAAAATGCTAGTGAAAGTGAGTGAAATGAACTTCCCTTTTCACAATAATGGAACCCTAGAGATTAGTTGATTTTGGACTCATTATCTTCTCATGATTAGGCTAAGTTTAGCTTCCCTTTCCTCTTGACTAAAGCTGTCATGACTTAAGAAAATTATCCTAAGCCAATTAACCTAATTAGCTAACCTCCCTAGGTCTTAGATTAAAGTCCCTAGTTCAATTAACCAATTGGTGAAGACATTAGCCAAGTGATTCACTCAAAATCCTCTCTCAACAGCCATGGTCAAACACATAAATTGAGCAACCACAAGATTATGTCAAGCTACTCAACAACACAAGCATTAACACCACAAGATTATGCAATATTAACACAAGAAATTCACTAATTGAAAAACACAAGATTATGTGCCAAACAAAGAGTGGCAAAATTCAGTCATGGCTGTCCAAGGAAGAAATTAAATGAAACAATCCTCTCTCTTTACATCAACATCAAATTCAAATTAGAATTTATAAGCTAAGATGATTAAACCCTAGATTAAGGAATCTAACCATCTAGTAAAAAGAGAAGAGGATAGGAAACAAAAGAACTTAGCCAATTTGAAGCTCAAGACTCATCCTCCATCTTCATCTCTCTAGGATTCCACAAAGAAACTTAGCCAATCTTCATCTTCAAGAACCCTAGTGATTGCTTGTGAAGGCCAAACTCCATAGCTCTTGAATGATGGAAATGAGCTTCAATCCTTGTGAAAATGGAAGGGATGGAACGAAAATGAAGAGAAGAAGAATGGTATGAGTTTTGTGGAGGTTTGGTGGCTGAAAATGGAGGTTAGGGTGCTGGAAAATGAAGAACAAAAGAGAGAAAATGAAGAACACTATGAACAAGAGAGAGAGAATGTGGAAGATGAATGAGATATGTGTTGGATCCCATTTGAGGCTTAAAATGGCGTGCTCCTTGGTGTCTCCCATCAGCTGAAGCTTAATTAAAATAAGGAAAAAGAAATTAAAATGTAAATGGGAGCCTTGTCACACTTGCAAGGTGGCAACTTCCTATTGGTTTGTAGATGATTCCAATGTGTGCCTAATTTCCCATGTGTCATCCACATCATTTTAGCTGATTTAACCTCTCAAAATAATCATAATTCACGTGCAAACCATCAGCCATTGACCTCAAGGAGTGTTGACCTCAATTGCCCAATTGATGCACAAGTCACATGCCACCTATGTCACATAAATCACATAATTCAATTAAATAGCATATGATATAATAAAATCTAATTCATGTCCAGAATTAAATTCATATTTAGAAGGGAGAATTTATTAAATTAACCAAGTTTCAGGCTGCACAAAATTATATAAAAATTTTCACACAAAGGCAAACCAAAAACTAGGACAAACTAAGACACTTAAGAAAGTGTTGACTTTTTTATTTAATTACTCCCAAACTAAAATGAATTTAAAAATATAATTTCACCATTCATCAACTGGACATAAAATGCACTTTGTCAATTTTTCTTGTACATTTTCTCAAAAGTTCATTTTTTGGACCAAAATGCCCCTAGTGCACTGATCTTAGAAACTTAGGCAAAGTTCCAAATCTAATGCAATGTGTGCACTTGAAGGTGATAAATAATTAATAAAATGGTCCTAATTGACAAATAAAAGTGGGTAACAAATGTGTTCTATCAATTCCCCACACTTAGCTTTTGCACTCCGGGCAAAATCAAGTGAAAAAGGTCCCAAAGAAACTATAAGACAAAGAAATAAGAGAAAACATTGTTTCAAGTCACTAAAATACTAGCTCATGAACTTCTACAAATTATCAATCAATGTGGCAATAATTACGAAAGAATTATGCACATCACAAAACAAACCGTTACCAAGAATCAATGTCAAAGAGTAAGCCTCTCTAGGTTAAGTGTTTGCTCTCATCACTCAAAGTGTATAAGGTATTAAATTTCACTCAAAATTTCTTAGGATAAACCCTACTATGAATTTGTAACCCTTCTACATCTCCATCACTAAATAGCACTTGCAATCAAGAATCAAATGGACTTTATTAGGTTGTGATATAGGTAATGAAAGGATGTCTAAGAAATGCATGTATATAAAAAAATAGGGTTAGCATCAAAATAATGCTAAATCAAGATATATCCCCTTAATATGCAAAGCATAACCTAACTCAATTGAGTGAACACCTTAACACAATGAGGATGGAAAGAAATGATAAGAAATAATAAAACAAATGGAATGGATGAGCTAGGCAACTTTTTATTTTTATTTTTATTTTTTTCTTTCTTTTCTTTTTTTTTTCTTCTTCTTTTTTTTTTTTTCTAGCAACTTTATTTCTTTTCTTTTTGACTATTTTTTTTTTCAAATCTATCTTTGTTGTTTTTTTTTTTTGGTTGCCCCTAACTCTTTGAAAACAATGGAAGTAATGGATAGAGAAATGATAATAAGCATCCACTCATTTGATCTAGGACATGCAATGAATATTAAAAAGACATATAAAAGTGTAACATGCATTCCTTGGGGAAAAATAGGGTGAATATTTTTTTTTTAAGAATCAAACCAAAGGCTCAAAGTGGCTAACAAAGGATAATAAATAATAATAGGTTGGCTATTTGGCTCTTGGCTATTTTTTATGAATGCCATCTCTCATCTCCTATCAAACAAGTGCAAGATATATGGTCTTAATTAAGAAGTGAAACAAATTCTAGAGGGTAACATCACTAAGGAATTAATCACACATGAGTGTTTAGCCTCTTCCATGAAAGGGTAATATGCCACTCTAATCCATTAATTCAAGGTAAAAGAATGTTCACTTCACACCTATTCAATCCTAAAAATTACCACATCTCAAGAATCAAAATATCCATTCAAGAGCTAGGTAATTAAGTAACCTCAAACAAAACAAAACAAAGCAATTTTTTTTATTTTTTTAATAAATTTTTTTTTTGCAAAACCAAACAAACAAAACAAAATGTTTATTTCTCTCCCCCACACTTAAATCATGCATTGTCCTCAATGTATGTATAGACTAGTGATAAAATAAGGTGAGATCAATAATGAATGCATAACAAAAGTGTGGTCCAGAAATTTTTTTTTTCAAACTAAAACACAAAACAAAGAAGTCAAATAAAGCAAATAAACTCTAACTTTCCTACTAGGTTCATCTCCCCCACACTTGCAATTTACTCAATCAACAAATCAAAGCATAAAGCAAAGTAAAGTAAAAAGAAAGGGTGAAGAAGATACAACCTAGTTTAAATCTCCACAAGCTCTTGAAGTTGAAATTTTCATCTTTGAGGAGTAACATGAAGCTACTCATTATCATCTTCATTCCAAGCATCTTAGGTGGAGGCTCAAGATCAATTTGTAATGGCTCCAAGATGTATGGTGTAGAATCTTTCATAACTTTATGTGGTTGATCATCTTCATGGTTAGCCAAGGTCTCTTCCATTGCAATGATAAATCCTCTAAGTACATGGGGGTTCTTGGCCATATCATCATTTAGACCTATAAAATCAACAAAGAACCCTTCCTCAAGCATATTGGGTTCTAAAGAAGTGCACTCATGATTAATTTCACTCAAACATACATCATCAATTATTTTATCAAGTAAATGATTGCTACTATTTTCAAGCACAAATGAATTAATTTCTAAACAAATAGGGCATGGAGAATCATGTGAACAATCACAAGTGAATAGGAAATTAGAACAAGTACTATGAAACAAAGCCAACTCATCATCAAAATCATCAAGCATTAAATCAATATTATTCTCATTACTATTTGGCTTTGTAAAATCAATTCCTTGATTTTCAACCTCCTTGTCATCTTGAGTTATTTTCAATTCCTTGTTCAAATCCTTAGTAGGAGCTACAGCCTTTTCAAGTTGAGCAAGTTCCTCTTTGAAATCAAGAGATGGTTTGGCTACATTGCCTTGTTCACCTACAAAAGAAGGTAAACAACCTTTCTCAAGCACATCATGTTAGAAGAAACAAGTGCATGTGCACTATTAACATATCACAAGAAGGAATTGGAATTTCAAGCATACAAGATACATCATCGCCACCATCAACATCCATTTCATTTTCTTTATTCAAGCTAAGTGAAGAGTCAACACTTTCAATGATATTTGAATTTAAATCAAGAGAATTATCATGTGAACTCAAAGTGTTTTTCTCCCAAGGGTATACTTTTTCACAATATGATTCATGCTCAAACATCCAAGGTGATTCAACTATAATTTCTTCATCTACGTCATCATCATTTAAATCATTATGCTCATCATTAGATAAAGTCAAATGTGAAGAAGAATCAACCTCAATAGGAATAGGAGAAATTACCTCTTGAAGTAAGGGTTGGATTGACTCCTTCTCTTTTGGAGATTGAGTGGCTTGAGGTGTATTTATATTCTCAATAGCTTCATGAGCAACTTTTTGTGTGTCTTCAACTTGAAACATGTAATTTCTCTCTTGTGAGGCTTGGGCTACTCCATGTGGTTCACAATATCCTTTTAGAATAGGACAATCATAATAGAAGTGGGAGATAGCCTCACAATGCACACAATAAAATTTACCCCTTTGTGCATATAATTTTTCTAGATGCTCAATGTCAATGGATGGTGTACGCTCAACATGAGTGCTTAGATTGGATTCAAAACTCATGGGATTGAAAAATTCATAATTGTGACTTGGATGGAAATGATCATGATATGGGGGTGGATAATCAAAGTTATATTGTTGAAATTGATTATGGAAATGGGATGTATGGTCAATGTTAAGCGCTGGAAATGGATGGGAATGGATGTCAAATGAATGATGGAATGAATCATGATCATGAAACCAAGCCATAAAATGCAATGAAATTTATATCCACAAGCAATGATTCAAATTCAAGCTCAAAATGATGGAAAGACCAAGGAAGCTCAAATGATATGCCCTTTGCAAGTGTATGAGTGGAAATGCAAGCAAACAAAAATCAAGAGAATTTTTTTTCTTTTTTTTCTATTAGAATTAAAAACAATAAAAAAAAAAAAAAAATCAAAAACAACACCAAACAAGTAGAAAGAGAGTTAGAAATGCTCAATCAAGAAGCTTTGACAATTCTGGAATTTGCACAGTAGGCTTTCTGGAGATAGTGAACTTGTGGATTTTTTAGCAGCCAATCCATATGAGAAATTCACCTGAAACTTTTATGAGATACACAAGAGATATTCAGAAAAATTATATAAAACTTTCAGATTACAAATCCCTCCCAATCGTTCCCAGAATTTTTCACAAGTTGGTCCACAGGTCTGGAGAAACAGGATTTCGTCCAGAAGACCTTCAGAGCTTCTAACAAACTTTCAAATAGGAAAATGGAAAAATTGAAGAAAATCCTAAACACAAGAAACAAATATAAGACAGTGATAAGAAAAATGAAACTCAAATCAATCAATTTGAACGCACAAAGAGGAAGATATGCTAACTCAAAGTTGAAACAGGGTTTTGGGATCCTCTGTAATGGCTCCCTGGACCTTGTTAGATTGTAAAATTTCCACAGGACACTTCCCACGTCCAAAATTGACCAAACCAATTTTAAAGTGAAGCTAAGATATAGAGCTTTCAATGAAATAAATTTCAAGTTCAAATTCCCTCAGACTCATTCCCAGTTAATTTTTCAATTTCAGACAGAGACACTAGAAACAGAGTATTTTCAGCTCTACACCAAACCAACGAAAAATTGCACTAATTTTTTTTTTCAAAACAGAATAAAAACACTCAAAACACACAAAAAACACTAAACAAAACACCAAACACAAATTTTTATAATTTTTCAAAAATTTTCCAGGAACACTAAAAATGTAAATTAGGTACTAAACAACCTTAGAATTAAACTTAAACCATTCCCCGGCAACGGCGCCAAAATTTTGATAGGAAATTAGTCGCTTATCCTCAAAATTACACTAAAGCTAACCCTAATGCAATATAGGGCCAACCCTAGGTCATCTCCCAAGGAATGGTTTTAAGTCTAATTGAAAGTTATCTAGTGAAATAAATCAACCAAAGTTTGTAGGAATTTAGTTATCTAGCTAATTATCTAAACTAATTACCTAATATGCAAGTAATTAAAATGCTAGTGAAAGTGAGTGAAATGAACTTCCCTTTTTACAATAATGGAACCCTAGAGATTAGTTGATTTTGGACTCATTATCTTCTCATGATTAGGCTAAGTTTAGCTTCCCTTTCCTCTTGACTAAAGCTGTCATGACTTAAGAAAATTATCCTAAGCCAATTAACCTAATTAGCTAACCTCCCTAGGTCTTAGATTAAAGTCCCTAGTTCAATTAACCAATTGGTGAAGACATTAGCCAAGTGATTCATTCAAAATCCTCTCTCAACAGCCATGGTCAAACACATAAATTGAGCAACCACAAGATTATGTCAAGCTACTCAACAACACAAGCATTAACACCACAAGATTATGCAATATTAACACAAGAAATTCACTAATTGAAAAACACAAGATTATGTGCCAAACAAAGAGTGGCAAAATTCAGTCATGGCTGTCCAAGGAAGAAATTAAATGAAACAATCCTCTCTCTTTACATCAACATCAAATTCAAATTAGAATTTATAAGCTAAGATGATTAACCCTAGATTAAGGAATCTAACCATCTAGTAAAAAGAGAAGAGGATAGGAAACAAAAGAACTTAGCCAATTTGAAGCTCAAGACTCATCCTCCATCTTCATCTCTCTAGGATTCCACAAAGAAACTTAGCCAATCTTCATCTTCAAGAACCCTAGTGATTGCTTGTGAAGGCCAAACTCCATAGCTCTTGAATGATGAAAATGAGCTTCAATCCTTGTGAAAATGGAAGGGATGGAACGAAAATGAAGAGAGGAGAAGAATGGTATGAGTTTTGTGGAGGTTTGGTGGCTGAAAATGGAGGTTAGGGTGCTGGAAAATGAAAGAACAAAAGAGAGAAAATGAAGAACACTATGAACAAGAGAGAGAGAATGTGGAAGATGAATGAGATATGTGTTGGATCCCATTTGAGGCTTAAAATGGCGTGCTCCTTGGTGTCTCCCATCAGCTGAAGCTTAATTAAAATAAGGAAAAAGAAATTAAAATGTAAATGGGAGCCTTGTCACACTTGCAAGGTGGCAACTTCCTATTGGTTTGTAGATGATTCCAATGTGTGCCTAATTTCCCATGTGTCATCCACATCATTTTAGCTGATTTAACCTCTCAAAATAATCATAATTCACGTGCAAACCATCAGCCATTGACCTCAAGGAGTGTTGACCTCAATTGCCCAATTGATGCACAAGTCACATGCCACCTATGTCACATAAATCACATAATTCAATTAAATAGCATATGATATAATAAAATCTAATTCATGTCCAGAATTAAATTCATATTTAGAAGGGGGGAATTTATTAAATTAACCAAGTTTCAGGCTGCACAAATTATATAAAAATTTTCACACAAAGGCAAACCAAAAACTAGGACAAACTAAGACACTTAAGAAAGTGTTGACTTTTTTATTTAATTACTCCCAAACTAAAATGAATTTTAAAATATAATTTCACCATTCATCAACTGGACATAAAATGCACTTTGTCAATTTTTCTTGTACATTTTCTCAAAAGTTCATTTTTGGACCAAAATGCCCCTAGTGCACTGATCTTAGAAACTTAGGCAAAGTTCCAAATCTAATGCAATGTGTGCACTTGAAGGTGATGATAAATAATTAATAAAATGGTCCTAATTGACAAATAAAAGTGGGTAAAAATGTGTTCTATC